GGCAAAACACTCATACACATAAAATAAAAACTAAATAATAAAAAAAAACTTGTGCAAAAAGAGAGCAGAAAAATAAAGGTTCTTGTTCTCAGAAGCCTTGGATCAAGTGGGGGAAATAGACAAGCCATTATAAAGTGTAAGATTTAGCCTGTAATCTCATATTAGGAAGGCTGAGGCAGGAGAATTATCATGAATTTCAACCCAGTCTGGGTCACAGAGTAAAACCCTGTCTCAAAACACCACCACCAAAACCCTAAAAATAAGATGTGACAGCTGCTAATATAACAGATACCAATCCAGCTGGACTTGAGAACAAGGAGAGACAAGTCAGAATGAGCATGTGCACTTGTGATACCCTAACAGTGACTTCATCAGCATTTGCTGGTCAGACATTGCTCTGAGGGACCTACACAACCAACTGTTCAATTCCTATGATACACCCCATTTTAGAGATAGGTAAACTGAGTTTCTTTTTGGTGTTCTACCTCTCATTTAAACCTCATTCCAATTCTACAAATTATGTGTTCTAGATTAGTACCTCACTCTGAATTGCCCAGTAAAATGACATGAAATTCTTGTTACTTTATTCCTGGAGTCAAGGACAGACTCCATATATGTATTACTTATTAAGACAGGGTCTCATTATGTAGCCCTGGCTGGGCTGGAGCTTGCTGTATAGACCAGGCTGGCCTCAGACTCACAAAGTTCCTCCTGCCTCTGCTGCCTGAGTTCTGGGGGGAAAGTCATGTGCCAGTATGACTGGCACAATCATTTTTTTTTAAAGACAAGGCCTTGCTGTGCAGCCCAGCATGGCTTCAAACTTTCTGTGTGACCTTGAATGCCTGATCCTGCTGCCTCCACCTCCAAAGGAGACACTTCTTTGGCTTCAGGGTCTCTTGTTTTTTGTTTGTTGTTTTGTTTTTGCTTTTGAGATTTGACATCCTTATGTAGCTCAGGCTGGCCTCCAATTTAGGATTCTTCTTCAGTCATCTGAGTGCTGGGATTAAAGGCATAGCTGCCATCTTTTGTTTGTTTTTTGATCATGTTTTCTTATTTAGGTTATTTACTTGTTGTTGTTGTTGTTGGTGGTGGTGGTGTGTGTGTGTGTGTGTGTGTGTGTGTGTAGGTCAGAGGACAACTTTGGGGAGTCAGTTCTCTCCTTCCACAGTGGGTTCTGGGCATTGAACTCAGGAGGTCACACTTGTGTGGCAGCACTTTGACCTGCTGAGCCCAAACTGTAAAAATCTTAACCAAGACGTCTGACTGCCACATCCCTGCTCAGCTTGTTTGAACTCAGACACAAGCCACCATGCAGCTGGAAGGCTTCTCCGGTCCTGTCCCGCCCTGCAGTCAGGACGAACCCTATTCCTCCGATCTCTCCGTTTTCACCCCAGTATATGGCTCCAGGTTTTTTATTAATGAGACCATTAGCAATTCGTCTTACAGCGCCATCCTTTTTGTACCCCGGCTTTGCCATCCACAAAGTGGAAGGATCAGGCCAGAGTTACTAATACCAAACGTGAGCTTAACCTGGTTGTCTTTGGAAGATCTTTCTTCTAGTGTGGAAGCAGGGCAGTGTCTTCTCCTTCTCAAGATTTCAAAATTGGCACTGGTTCCTGGGACCCTTGCTGGGCAGGAGAATTTTCACAAGCCACATCATTCATTTCTTCAGCAGATCTGACAGGCCCAGCGGAGAAAGCCTGAAATAGAGCTGGCCGCCCTCAACCTTTCAGTGGCTCAAGGGAGCTGTCTGTCCAGCTCTGAATAACCCATTGCACCTAGAATAGTCTGGGAATTTCCTTATGTGGCAGAATACATGTCGGGGGTGGGTGGGGTGGTGGTTCACTGAGCCCACAGGCTCAATTCATCCTATGAGCAGAGACAAGAATTGTACTATTCAGCACTAAGAAATGAATATAGAAAGGGTGTGAAGATATTTAAAAACAAAAAGTGCCTTTAAATCTCTTCTGTGGCTGGGTGGTGGCGGCGGCGGCGGCGGCGGCGGCGGCGGCGGCGGCGG